CTGGGTAGAGTGCTGTGGCATCACAGCTCACAGCAACCTCCAACTCCTGGGCTCAAACGAGTCTCCTGCCTCTGCCTCCCAAGTAGCTGGGACCACAGGGGCCCGCCACAACGCCTGGCTATTTTTTTGGTTGCAGCCGTCATTGTTGTTTGGCTGGCCTGGGCTGGATTCGAACCCAACACCTTAGGTGTATGTGGCTGGGGCCTTAGCCACTTGAGCCACAGGCGCCAAGCCTTGGTCACCTTTTGCAAGGTGAATCTTTTTTCTGGTTAAAAACAATTTTGGCTGTGAGCATTCTTTTAGGAGTTTATGTATTACATGATTTGTTGTTGGGATTTGGGAGCGATGCAGAGAGGGAAGGGGTTTCCTTTCCAGACACCAGAGCTAAGAAGGCTTGAAAAGAAGCATTCTTAGTGCTGGCTATATGCTGTATTAGGATTATCTGGGAAACTTTAAAACAAACAAAAAACGCCAGTGTTAAGTTTGAGAACTCTGGAAGCAGGACCCTGGCACATGAATGGTCTAAAACGCTCCCCAAGTAACTCTGTCTGGCGGGCACTACCAGAGTTAAGAACTACAGCTTTAGAATTTTCTAGCACGGTTAATTCCGTCGGTCATTAGTTTTGTGGCACTCTGTCAGGGAGGTATGCTCTCACCTTGCTGCTCAAGCATCAGTGCGTGTAGTCACTTGAAACGCTGTTTAAATTCCAGATTTCCTAGGCTCTGTCCTTAGAGAATCCTAGAAGGTCACAGTTTCAGGCGCCTAGGATTCTGCACTTTATCTGTTGCAAATAGTCTGATGCACACAGGGCAAACCATTAATGTTGGAGTGGTCACAAGGGCGGGGCGGGGGATGATGGCCAACAGGGAATGTGGAACAACAAAAAGGACATTTGTGGTGCCTGGTGGAACAACAAAAAAGACCTTTTGTGCGTACTGAACCCCTAAAAACCTGTTTTTTCCTTGGCCTCCCTACTCTGGGCAGTTTTGAGGTAGACATCTGAAGACAGTGACGTGAGTGTCGAAAGGAGTGTGGTGCTGGGGGCGGTCGATTTACGTTCGGGAACATTCCCTCCGGGCGGGAAGAGGGTGTAGCTCCAGGTGACCTTTTCAACGCTGCAGCTTCCCACACCCGCGCCGCACGTTGGCAGCCGGCTCCCGCGGGAAGAAGCGCCCCGGGGCGGGGGCCTGGGCGGCGGCGGCGACACCACGGGGTTGCGGCTCCCGCCGAGGGGCGGCCGCGGGCCGGGGCGCGCGCACCGAGGGGCCGGACTCCGGGCCTCACCTCTTCGCGCTCCCGGCGCCGCCCCTCCCGTCGCGCCGCCGGCTGCCCGGGGGCGGGGTCTGGGCGCCGCGGGGGTCGGAGACGCGGCGGCGCTGGACGCGGAGGCGGTGGGCTCGTGGCGCGGAGTCGGCGGGAGCGCGGCGCTGGCGGCCTCGGAGTGAGGGCCCGCGTCGCCGAGCGGCCCCCGGAGCCGCGGAAGGAGGTGAGTGGGCGGCGCGCGTCCCCCCTTTCCAGTCCCGGGTCCCCGACTTGCGTCCTCGGGTCGGTTCCCGGACACTCCGGGCGGTTGCGCCCGGCTGCAGCCTTGGCGGCTGCGCTCAAGGCCACCTCCCCACCTTCCCGCACCGGGGCAAACCGCGGCCGCCCGGACCCCTCGGCTGAGTCTCCGAGGCCGGGCGTGCGGCCCTCTGGCCCTGCTGTGGGGGCTGTGCCAGGATTCCTTGCCCTGAGAGGTCAGTCTCAGGAGGCGCGGGGCCTTTCTTTTTGTTCTGAGCCTTGTCACGCGCGTCCGCATCGAAAGTCAAAAGCGAGCACCCCCAAAGTCGCACTAGTTTCAGTTCTGCGGCGTGATTTGCACGAGGGTCGGGGGCTGGCCGAGCCGCTAGCCGGCTACCGCCGCCTCTTCCTCGCCTCTGGTCCCCGGGGCGCTCTGGCCGCCACGGGTGTCCACGTTGCCGCGGTCGCGTCCTGGAAGGGGACCCGGCGCTTGGCTTTGGGTCCTCCCGCCGCGCGGCTGGAGCCTGCGCTCAGGGATGCTCTGGGTTCTCTCGTATACCTGTGTTTTCCACCTTTGCCAGTGTGCAGGATCTACACAACTTTTGCCCTGCTGTTAAAATTCACTCTTTCTATAAACACATGTATATGTGTAGAGAAAATAAAAGAAAATGCACTCTTTCTACAAACACATGTATATGTATAGAGAAAATTAAAAAATGCACTTTCTGTTTTACAACATTTAAATATGTTTAGTGATCTTTAAAAAAGTAAAGCAAAATGGGAAAAATACCCATTTTGATAAATTAATTTTTTTTTTTAAAAGCGGAATCCAGGAATCATATTCTAAATGCTGTGATGATGACGTGGGTAACTGTCATTGTCAGACTTCCCATCTCCAGACTTGGAAAACCAAATTTATGTGGCTTTCCTGGTTTTGAGCTTCCCTTTGTCTGATTTGGGATCCCTAGGCCTTACATCATGCAAATATTGAGGAACATTTCTAGGGGCCAGTTATTAAGCTGTACAACCCAACGAGGTATTCCGCAGCGCTGGAGTGACTGGTCATGGCTATCAGGTGGGCTCAGGTTGTCAATTTTAGTATTTCTGAATTTAAGGGGGCCTGAGACCTGGGGAGTACAACTACAATCTCTCGTTAGTTTTTGTGGCTCTCTGAAGGCATTCTGGCTTCTTCTACTTGTGTTATAAAAGACTAAGCTAAGCCCGTGGTATTGGTAAGGACAATATTACTTTCTTTGTGAGTAGACTTTACTAGGACATACTGTTCATAGGCCAGGGACTCAATTCTTAGGTGTCAATGGATAAAAAGGAATTGAATTCTCAGGATGTTTAAAGAAAAGAGGTTGGATTTTTAAGACACATTTTGCTCTCCCATTGAGTGCTTGTCACATTTTCACTTTTTTTCCCCCCACTAGGTTTGTACAAAAATGAAAGAAGTTAGAGGAAGTGAGGCGGAAGGGACATACTGTGATGACATGACATTAAGAGCTAAGGATGCCATATGCTATTTAATTACAGGTTCAGTTATTGGTGGGAGATGAAAAGGTTTTGCATTTGCATTCCTTTTTGGGGAGCTCTGGAACAGAAACAGCAGTTAGCACAGGACTTGGGCTATCTACTGTAGCCCTGTGTTTAGGGGACCACCTTCCCCCAGAAAGGGGGGAACTGCTAACCTTGTCCTGTGTGGAAAGCATCTTGGCTTTCTATATCAGAAGCTGAAAGGGTAGAACCTGTGGACAATGCCTCTGTGGAGCAGTACTTTTACACAGGAGACGGGTGTCTGTTGATGGGGACTAGTTGTGAAGGGGAGTTTGTAGGCAATGTGGTCCCAGGAGACCAGCCCTGCTTCTCAAAGGACCTGGGGTGGTGAGGGTGGAGAAAGTTGTGTTCTGTGCCTTTGGATTTGATTTTGTTGCATTATTGTTATTATTTGTTTTTCTTTTTTAAAAAAAGTTGTCTTATGAATTGAAAAGATTGATTTGTTAATGATTTGATGTGTGAAATAACATCTATTTTGGGATTTTTTTTTTGGACGACATTGTTCTTTTTTGTTAAGAAAGAAACAAAAAGATTTTCTCAGCTGGACATGGTGACTCACACCTGTAAGCGCTTTGGGAGACCACAGTGGCAGGGTCAGTTGAGGCCAGGAGTTCAAGACCAGCTTGGGCAACACAGAGACACCCTATTTCTACAAATTTTTTTTTTTTTTTTTTTTTTTT